AAAAAAACAGGCCGAGGATTCGAATTCCGACGAAAGGACATTCTTCCCCTTGTTCAGGAAACCTTTGCAGGATTCAAAACTGCAGCACAACTTTTGCAGAAATACAAGTACCACGAATTGCAGATTTTGAGAAAATATCATCTGCAGACGATGCAGACCCGAAGGCGAGCACAATTTGCAAATTCGGCAAATTTGACAAATTTGGGAAATTTGCAGTGGATTTGTTTAGTTGTTTATGGGGTTGTAAATAGTTTGTAAATGTTTTTTTGTTATAACACTTGTAATTGGTAAAGTGAATTATATTTGGCTGGTGATTTTGCAGTTTATTCTTTAAAAACTACCAAATTTTTAAATATATTTAAGTGTTGCACTATAGTATTCTACAAGTCGAGACCTTTCAAATGATACCCCACATGACATATTTGACACGAAACGTTTTGACCCCTCATTTGATCCATCATACTGTTTGTAAATATATTAAATGTGTTGTAACTTTTGAACGGTAAGTCTGATTTTTTCAGAATATTCGGCAAATTTGTACAGAATTAAATAACGTATAATATTGTCTAACATCAGAATGTCCTACAGCACTTTAGGTACTTTAAAATTTTAATGAAATTGAATATCAATCAAAGTCATTAGTATATTTGAATTCAGTTCATCGAGACCTTTCAAATGATACCCCACACGACATATTTGACGCGAAACGTTTTGACCCCTCATTTGATCCATCGCACTGTTTGTAAATTTATAAAATGTCATGTAACTTTTGAACGGTTGATCTGATTTTGAAGAAATATTCGGCAAATTTGTTCAAAATTTAATTGTCTATACAGTTGTTTACATCACAATGCCCTACAGTAATTCGATATACTTTAAAATCATAATTAAATAAGAAATATAAATTATAATAACTGCCACAAAATATATTATCAGCAACTATTACTTTTGTCTTCAGTTCTAATCTTGCCAAGAAGGGTCCAACTGGATCGTAATCACAAAATAAGACACAGATGCCGCCAAAACCTAAAAAAAATATTTTTTTCAAAAATCCTGGGCCAAAATTTGTTACAAAAAAAATTTCTTACCGCGTGCAAAAAAGTTGGCCCAAGTTCAAACAAACCTCCAGCAGTCAAAACCACATTTTCGTGAAACAACTGCAAGGACCCAATTTGGATCTAAAGAAAAATTATAAAATAAAATTGAAGTAAAACTTTCTAGCCCTCAAACTTTCTGAATTTTATTTACCATATTCCTGATTCGTTCATCGTCTTTGTTTCGCACTTTATGAAGTTTTCCAGCAGTTTTGGAGGCTTCAATTTTTATACAGTAGCTGGAAATTGACACCAAAATTGCCGGTAGCATGGTGACCAATAAATTATTGCCAACGAACACCAAATTTTTTAAATCGACTTTGTGCTGATAGCAGGTTTTTTGAAAAAAGCTGAACATTTCTAGAACGCCGTTGGCGAAGGCCGTTAGGCAGAACCTTGGGACACAGAAAATAATACAAAAATAGCTCGATTTTTTATTTTAATTAAGATTTTAAAGTATACCGAGTTGCTGTAGGGTATTGTAATGTACATTATATCATATACTATTAAATTTTGAACAAATTTGCCGAATATTACATCAAAATCGGATTTACCGTTCAAAAGTTACGAGACATTTTATAAATTCACAAACAGTATGATGGATCAAATAAGGGGTCAAAACGTTTGGCGTTAAATATGTCGTGTGGGGTATCATTTGAAAGGTCTTGACGGACTGAATTCAAATATGAAATCGACTTTGATTGATTTTTTATTTTAACTGGGATTTTAAAGTTCCTGGTTGCTGTAAGGCTTTCTGATGTAGACTATATTATACATTATTTAATTCTGTACAAATTTGCCGAATATTTCATCAAGATCGCATTTACCGTTCAAAAGTTACAACACGTTTTATATATTTACAAACGGTCTGATGGGTCAAATAAGAGTCCAAAACGTTGTCTAGCTAAATATGTCATGTGGGGTATCATTTGAAAGGTCTCGCCGAACTGAATTCAAATATAATATTGACTTTGGATTTTTTATTTTAATTATGATTTTATTAGTGGGTTATCGACAGTTATCATTCCTTCTCTGTCTAACAACGTGCAAAACGCTATATGCATCCCTTTCTAATTTGTGTTAGACATGGAGCTGGGATTAAAAATGTTAAATAACTTGCCTTGTAGATTTTTTAAAAGATGTTTTAGAGAAATTGATGTTATCAATATATGTAAATAATGGTTTACTTACATTAATATTGGGACGTTGTATAATTTATTAAAACTTTTGACAACTGCACTTAGTTTGGCGTGGAGTTTGCAACTTAATTTTATTGCATCAACTTCTTTAGTAACATCATCGTAGTTTTCCTGAAATAAAATAAGAATTTTAATAATAATTCCTTTTTTTTAATTTTTGGATTCAGGTTGCACGTCAATAGAGTCCCTTTTTAATTCTAGATTCAGTTTGCTTGTCAGTAGAGTCCCCTTTTTTAATTCTAGATTTAGTCTACTCGTCAGTAGAGTCCTTTTTTAATTCTAGATTAAGCTTGCTCGTCAGTAGAGTCCCTTTTTTAATTTTAAATTAAGTTTGATCCTCAGTAGATTCCCTTTTTTAATTCTAAATTAAGTCTGCTCGTCAGTAGAGTCCTTTTTTAATTCTGTTTCAGTTTGCTTGTCAGTAGAGTCCCTTTTTTAATTTTAAATTAAGTTTGCTCGTCAGTAGAGTCCCTTTTTAATTTTAAATTAAGTTTGCTCGTCAGTAGAGTCCCTTTTTTAATTCTAGATTTTATTTGCTCGTCAGCAGAGTCCTTTTTTTAATTCTAGTTCAAGTTTGCTCGTCAGTAGAGTCCCTCTTCTCAATTTTAAATTAAATTTGCTCGTCAGTAGAGTCCCTTTTATATTTTTGTTACCAAAATTAAGTTTGCTCGTCAGTAGAGTCCCTTTTATATTTTTTTTGACTAAAATTAAGTTTGCTCGTCAGTAAAGTCCCTTTTATATTTTTTTACGATAATTAAGTTTGCTCGTCAGTAGAGTTTTTTTTTTAATCAAAATTAAATTTGCTCGTCAGTAGAGTCCTTTTTCTTTGAATTTTTGGATTCAGTATGCTCGTCACTAGAGTCCTTTTCTTATTTTTAAAAATGTCATTTAAGTTTGTTCGTCAGTAGAGTCCCTTTCTTATTTTTAAAGATGTCATTCAAGTATGCTCGTCAATAGAGTCCCTTTCTTATTTTTAAGAATGTCATTTAAGTTTGCTCGTCAGTAGAGTCCCTTTTATATTTTTCGACCAGAATTAAGTTTCCTATATAATAATTTACATACCAATAATTGCACTAATATATATATACTTACTTTATCACCATATCCATCCAAAACCCCATTAATCCTCCTAAACCTTTGCCAGATCACAAAACAAACCACCAAAAACTTCATGGCGAACAATTTGGGAATCTTTCCGACGCCATAATTGCTAAAAATAAAAAACGCCGAATGATATCTCCAAGTGTTCCAAAAATTTCCAAAATGCTCAATTTCCAAAGAACGAATCGCTACACAAGTCCCCCAAAACATAACCAGCACACCAATGCGCAATCTACCATAATTCGGATCCTGGGGTAACTTTTGGTCAATCTTTTGCAAATTCTGGTAAATTTTCACAAATTTAGGGTGATGCACCAATTCTGCACCTAAAATACCCAAAACCTAGAACAGACGGAAATAGATTTATATGTATACTAGCTGACCCGGCAAACGTTATTTTGCCAAGTAAGGTATATTCTAAACAATTTCTAGAGAATCAAAAATATTAAAACTTTTAGTGTATAAGGATGTGTTGTTTGTATGCTATATACAATGGGGTATTATAAAAACAACTAGTGATGTATGGCATCGTGCCTTAAGGCAAATTGCTGGAACTTCCCGTACCGTAATGAAATATTCGAGAAATTTTAAACGTGGTATTACAAATACTCTGTAACTTTCATTAGTTTTGCATTATCTTGTTTGTTATATCTGAGCTAATTAAAAGTAAATCATAAATTAATTTATTTCCTGGAACATTAACAAACGTCATTTCATTTCGAATTCAATTTCAAATAAAATAGTTTGGCTAATTTGCACAAAATTGAAAAAGTGCTCCCGCCTAGTCACCGTCTAAACGCATTTGCAAACAATTCTGTGCGACATTTTCACTTATACTGTGCTTAGGTTGGTGCCATTTTCACATTTTTCAATAGTTTTCGTTTTCACAAAATTGTAATAGTGTTCCAGTACATAAACAGTCTAAACGCATTTGCAATAACATTTGTACCGGAGTGGCGCTTAGACTGTGCTTAGCCTGGGTAATTTTTTGAATTTTTATTGTATTTAGTATTTTTCATCATCAATTGTATTTTACCAGACATGATAATAAAAAGGACTCTACTGACAAGCAAACTATATTTTGCATTATATGAACTGACGAGCAAACTGAAATACTCGTCTGCTCGTCAGTCAAGTCCCTTTTTATATATTTTAGCTTTTGCTCGTCAGTAGAGTCTTTTTTATATTCTAGATTAAGTTTGCTCGTCAGTAGAGTCTCTTTTTAAATTCTAGTTCAAGTTTGCTCGTCGGTAGAGTCCTTTTTGTAATTTTGGATTGAATTTGGTCGTCAGTAGAGTCTCTTTTTAAATTCTAGATTAAATTAGCTCGTCAGTAGAGTCTTTTTTATATTCTAGATTAAATTTGCTCGTCAGTAGAGTCCCTTTTATATTTTTTTGACCAAAATTAAGTTTGCTCGCCGTTAAAGTTCTTTTCTTTTAAATTTTGGATCAAGTTTGCTCGTCAGTAGAGTTCTTTTTTACGTTTGATTTCTGGATTCAGTTTGTTTGTCAGTAAAGTTCCTTTTTTAATTCTAAATTAAGCTTGCTTGTCAGTAGAGTCCTTTTTGTAATTTTGGATTAAGTTTGCTCATCAGTGGAGTCCCTTTTTAAATTAAAGATTAAATTTGCTCGTCAGTAGAGTCCTTTTGCTTAAAATTTTTGGAATCAGTTTGCTCGTCAGTACAGTCCCTTTTATATTTTTTGACCAGAATTAGGTTTGCTCGTCAGCAGAGTCCTTTTTTAATTCAAGATTAGTTTGCTAGTCAGTAGAGTCCCTTAATAATAATAATTGCACTTTTACCTTATTACTATATCCATCCAAAACCTCATTATATATATATATATATATATATATATATATATATATATATAAAATAGAATCGTGTTAGTTAGAACACTTATACCTCACGAACGGCTGAACCGATTTAGCCGAAAATTGTGAGGGACGTAGTTTAGAACCAGGAGAAACACATAGGATACTTTTTATCCCTTTATTTCATTCTAATTCAAATGCTAAAAGATCTTTAGAGATCTACATAGATCTTGTAGATCTTTAGAGATCTGTTCGATTAGGTGGAGAATTGTGAAAGATTCGAAAAATTATATAGATTTTAGGGCAACTTAACGGATCATTGTCAGTAGAGTCCCTTTTTATTGTTGATATTGTAGTTTTTGTAGATTTCTAGATTAAGTTTGCTCGTAAGTAGAGTCCCTTTTTTGATTCTAGATTAGTTTGCTAGTCAGTAGAGTCCCTTTTTATTTCTAGATTAGTTTGCTTGTCAGTAGGGTCCTTTACTTTAAATTTCTATATTCAGTTTGCTTGTCAGTAGAGTCACTTCTATATTTTTTTACCAAAATTAAGTTCGCTCGTCAGTAGAGTACCTTTTTTAACTGTAGATTAATTATGCTCATGAGTAGAGTCCTTTTTTGTAGATTTCTAGATTAAATTTACTTGTCAGTAGAGTCCCTTTTTTAATTCTAGATTAAGTTTGCTCGTCAGTAGAGTTCCTTTTTTCAATTTTAGATTTAGTTTGCTCGTCAGTAAAGTCCCTTTTATTTTGATCAAAGTTATATAAACTTTCTCGTCAGTAGAGTCCTTTTTATATTTTTTAACCAGAATTAAGTTTGCTCGTCAGTAGAATTCTTTTTATAATTCTAGATTAGTTTGCTTGTCAGTAGACTCCCTTTCTTAATTCTAGATTCACTTTGCTCGTTAATAGAGTCCCTTTATTAACTTTAGTCCAAGTGTGCTCGTCAGTAGAGTCCTTTCTAAATTCTAAATTAAGCTTGCTCGTCAGTAGAGTCCATTTTTGTAATTTTGGATTAAGTTAGCTCGTCAGTAGAGTCCGTTTTTAAATTCTAGTCCAAGTTTGCTCGTCAGTAGAGCCTCTTTTATATTTTTTTGGCCGAAATTAAGTTTGCTCGTCAGTAGAGTCCCTTTCTTAATTCTAGATTTAGTTTGCTCGTCAGTAAAGTCGCTTTCATTTTGATCAAAGTTATATAAACTTTCTCGTCAGTAGAGTCCCATTTATATTTTTTAACCAGAATTAAGTTTGCTCGTCAGTAGAGTCCTTTTCTGTAGATTTCTATATTCAGTTTGCTTGTCAGTAGAGTCCTTTTTCTTTAGTTTTTTATATTCAGTTTGCTCGCCAGTAGAGTCTCTTTTTTAATTTTAGATTGAGTTTGCTCGTTAGTAGAGTCGTTTTTCCTTAGATTTCTTGACTGTTTGCTCGTCAGTAGAGTCCCTTTTATCATTCTAGTTCGAGTTCGCTCGTCAGTAGAGTCCTTTTTCTGTAGATTTCTACAGAAAAATTCAGTTTGCTCAGGGTTACAATTTAAAACAATATAAAAAATACATAATTACAGACAAAAACTAGTGGGGCGCATGGCATCGTGCCTTAAGGCAAATTGCTGGAACTTCCCGTACCAAAAATTATTTTTTTTTTTGAAAAGATTAACATTTTTTAAAAAAATTTACTCTAAAAAAAATAGATTTTTGAGGAACTATATAAATTTTTGACAAAAACTTACTTTTTGTTGAAAAATTTATTTTGAAATATTTTGGAAATTCTGAACTTTTTTTCAAAGCAATCGTACTGCTTTAATGCATAGAGACTAAATATCGAAGCGCGTAAGCGCCGCGTCGCTGTCTAACGCATAAGCATTGGTACGGAACCCATAGGAATGTTAACAAAATGTATACTCATTGTTAAAATCTCTATAAAATATCTGATAATTTGATGTGCATATGTCTAATGTCTAATGATTATTGTTGACCGCCAAATGTTATTTTTTTTTACTTTTTTTACTAGATCTCCGAAACCGCTAGACCTAATTTCATAAAAATTTCATCAAATCTTCATCTTGATAATGCAAGTAAAATGTTTTTGAATTATTCAAATTGCTTCATCCCGATTCCCGAAATCGTCGACGAAAATTTGTATCTGAACACACACAAATGCACGCACACACACACATACACACACATACATCAATTTTCTCTAAGGTATGCCAATATATTCAGAAACCTTTGAAACGTAAAGTTATATAAAAATTTTCATTTTCGATTTTTGTGCGATTACTATAACTTACCCTACGGAAAGTTAATTATGAATAAATCAATTTATCACCTCCAGAACATTAACAATCGTCATTTCATTTCGAATCAAATTTCAAAAAAAAAAAATAGTTGCCAAATTTCCACAAAATTGAAAAAGTGCTCCAGCATAGTCACAGTCTAAACGCATTTGCAAATAATTCTGTGCGATATTTTCACTTATACTGTGCTCAGCTTGGCGGCATTTTCACATTTTTCAATAATTTTCACAAAATTGGAAAAGTGCTCCAGTACACAAACAGTCTAAACGCACTTGGGTAAACATTTGTACCAGAGTGGCGCTTAGACTGTGCTTAGCTTGGGTGATTTTTTGAATTTTTAGTCCAAAATTACAAAAAAATTTTTTTGAAAAAAAATTAGAATCAAAAAATTTTTTTTCCAAAATCAATTGTTTTGTTGAAAAAAGCAGAAAGTTCTTTGAATCATTTAAATCGGACGCTTAGTTCTCTCAAAAACAGCCATTTTTTTTAAATTTAGCTCTGTAACTCCGAAACCTCTGGGCCTACCTTTGCCAAAAACTAATCAGCACATCTCCCTATCAATAGGAATCGAATGTTTTTTAAACCATTTAAATCGGTTGATCCGTTCTCTCAAAAATTCGCTTTCTATTTTTTGCACTCTTTGCTCCATATCTCCGTAACGGCTGGACCTGCCTTTGCCAAAAACTAATCAGCACATCTCCCTATCAATAGGAATCGAATGTTTTTTAAACCATTCAAATCGGTTGATCCGTGCGCCCGAAAACGTGGACGAAAAAAAGCGGACATACAAAACACACACACACACACACACACACACACACACACACACATCCATTTTTTCTGAAGTATGCCAAAATGTTCAAAAACCTTCAAAACGTCGAGAAATGTAAAAATTTTTGATTTCGATTTTTGGACGATTACTATAACTTACCCTACGGGAAGTTAATAAATAAAAACATGTCAAAAAAAAACATAAATCTAACCAATTTAACAAATTTGTTAAATATATATTGT